TTTATGCTAATACCACACTGTCTTGATTATTGTAGCTTTGTAGTAACTGTTGAAATTAGGAACTGTGAGTTCTCCAGCTTTGTTCTTCCTTTTCAAAGTTGTTTTGGCTTTTCAGGGTCTCTTGAGATTCCATGTAACTTTTAGTATTTTTTTTTGTATTTCTGCCAAAATGTCATTGGAATCTTGATAAGGATTGCATTGAAACTGTAGACAACTTTACACAGAGCTGACATCTTAACCACTAACTTGACTGGTTGAAATGACACCTGCCCAAGGGATGCTCGGGATAGTCAGTAGGAAAACAAACACGCTACCTGAGTGACGCTTGGGGCAAACTGTAAAGTAGTTAATAATATTAAGTCTTCTCATAGATGAACATGAGCTGTATTTCCATTTATTTATGTCTTTAATTTCTTTCATGAATGTTTTGTAGTTTTCATTGTACATGCCTCTGACCTCCTTGGTTAAATTAACTTCTAAATATTTTATTCATTCTGATGTGATTACAAATGGAATTGTTTTTGCAATTTCCTTTTCAGATTGATCAAAAATATGACTGATTTTTATGTGTTGATTTTATATCCAGATACATCATGGAATTCATATATTTGTTCTAGCAGTTTTTGTGGAATCTTTAAGATTTTCTACATATAAGATCATATCATCTGCAAACAAAAATAATTCTACTTTTCCAACAGAATGCCTTTTTTCTTTCTTGTCTAATTGCTCTGGTTAGAAGTTCCAGTAATATGTTAAATAGAAGTGGCAAAAATAGACATCTGTTAGGTTAATGGTGATGACCCAGTAAAGAACTTAGCCAGCCTGAATTTAGCTGTTCTGGGTGGGGCCTCCTAGAGTAACTCCAAAGGAGAGTCCGGGTCCATTTATTGAGCTGGGTCTTTTAAGGATGGGCGCGGGTGGGGACAGGCTTAGGTGGGGTGTTGTAGTCAGCAGGATTTGGCAAGGGAATACATTAAATACAGGACACATAATTTATAGGATTATTTTATAATTACCCAGAAAGTCAAATGCAAAGGAGTGCAAGAGATTAACTGCACTGTAAAGGCCCAAAGAATCCAGCCAAGGGCCTGGATCCGAGCAGTGTCCCACACAAGTCCAGCTAAAGGCTTAGTGTCCAATGCAATGTCCTCCACAGAGTCCAGCCAGAGGCCTAGAGCCCATGGCAATATCTCATGCTTGTCCATATTGAGGATCTGCACCCGGAAGGCCCAAAGGCCAGTGGTGAAAGCCAGAAAACCTACACCGCTGAGATGAAGGATTTGTGCCACCAAGCTGAGGGATCCACATTGGAGCCAGGAAATGGTGCTCACAGTGAAGATCAGAGCTCCCCTGATGGAAACAGCAGCCATTCCCAGCAACAGCGAGGCCCTGAGCTCTTCCTCTGAGAACAGCCTAGTTCACATCAGGAAAACCATCTGCAGCACGCTTCTCCTAGAAAATCAACAGACCAAAATCTTCCCCTCCGGTTCTCTTTTTACGGCTATTGGCAACAATCCTCAGGTGGATCTTCCGTGCCCAGACCACGCTGATTCACTTCAGCTGGGCATTACAAGTTGATCATTAGTCCACTACATGGGGTGACATAAAGGTGGGGAGTGAGATTGGGGGAGCAAGAATGGCTGAGTCTGTGTCTATAGCAACAGGTGGGCACTGTGACCTAGCAGAACAGGCATTATTCCCTGGCAAGGGTGGGGATGGGGCAGGGGTTGAGGGCAGAGGAGCTGTAGAACATAGGAACAGGCAGTGATTGTTTTCAGAGTTCAAGAACTCAGGTGGCTGGGGCGGGGCAGAAGAGGGGCAGACCTATCAAAGACCTTATCTTGTTCCTACTTTCAGATAAAAAGATTTCTGTTATGGTTTAGATTCTTTTATGGTTTAGATCTAAAATTTCCCCCCAAGTTTCATGTGTGTGGAAGGTGATTGGATCATGGGGGCACTATATGGCTCAATGGATTAATCCATTGGTGAGTTCATAGATGAATGTGCTGTTAGGAGGTGGGGCCTGGTTGGAGGTGGGTCACTGGGAGGATGACCCGGAAGGGTGTGCAGTATTCTTGTCCCTGACTCCTCCTTTCTGTATCTGCTTCCTGTTATGGGTTGAGCAGCTTTCCTCCACCCAAGCCCTTCCATCATGCCATCTCTGGCTTGCAGTCCACGAACAATGGACTGAGCACACTGGAAATGGTGAGACAAATAAACCTCTCCTCCTTGAAGTTGTCCCAGTGATGGGAAAGTAATCAGTCTTTCAACATTGAGTGTGATGTTTGCCATGAGTTTTTCATCTATCGCTCTTATTATTTTGAAATAGTTTCCTTATATTCCTAGTTTGTTGAGTGTTTTTTTTTTTTATCATGAATGGTCACTGAATTAAAAAAAAATTTTAATTTATTTTGCAGTGCTGGAGATCAAACCCATGGTCTCATGGGTGTTAGGCATGTGCTCCACCACTGGGCTACACACAGCCCCAGTTGTTGAATTTTGTCAAATGCTTCTTCTGCATCAATTGAGATGATTGTGTGGGTTTTCTACCTTCATTTTGTTTATGTGGTGTGTTACATTTATTGATTTTTGCATGTCAAATCATCCTAGGAATAAATCTCACTTGGTCATGGTGCGTAATCCTTTTGATATGTTCTGAAATTCACTTTGCTAGTATTTTTTTTTGAGGATTTTTGCATTGATTCATAAAGGATATAGGTCTGTAGTTTTCTTTTTTTGTAGTTGTCTTTATCTGGCTTTGGCATCAGGTAATGATGGTCTCATAGTTAGGAAGTGTTCTTTCCTCTTTGATTTTTTTGAAATTTTTGAGAAGATATGATATTACTTTCTTAAATGTATTATATTTACTCATGATACGATCAAGTGCAAGGCTTTTCTTTGTGAGGAAATTTTGGTTACTGATTCAATCTCCTTAGTACTTACAGATCTATTCAGATTTTATATTTCTTTGTGATTTAGTTTTGGTAAATTTTGTGTTTAGGAATTTGTTCATTTCATCTGGATTATCTGATCTGCTAGTGTGCAGTTGTTCACAGTACTTTCTTATAATGCTTTTTTTATAGTGTTGGGTTTTGAGACTTTGCACTGAGCTACGTCCCCAGCCCTTTTTTATTTTTATTTTTTTAAATTTTGAGATAGGGTATTGCTAAATCACTAAATTGTCCAGGCTGGGCTTAAAGCTGCAATCCTCCTGCCTTAGCCTTCCTAGAGTGCTGGAATTATAGGCATATGCCATCACACCCAGCTCCTTTATTTCTTATAATCAGTAGTAATTTACCCATTTTCTTTTATGATTTTAGTAATTTCAGTCTTTTCTTTCCCCCTTAGTCCATCTAGCTAAGGGATTGTCAGTTTTGGTGACCTTTTAAAAAATCCCTTTTGTTTTCATTGAGTTTTCTATATTTATCTACTCATTTTATTTGTCTCTTCTCTAATCTTCATTTCCTTCTCATAACATTGGGTTTGGTTTAATGAAGCACTGTAACTATACTACTTAAGCAATTTATAATTATTTAATTTACCACTTTAGAAAATTTGAGGGGATTGTTAAATGGCTTCATTCATTCATTCATTGTGGTGCCAGGGATTGAACCCAGGGCCTTCACACTGAGCTATATCACCAGCCCATTTTTGTTTTTTATTTTTAGACAGGGTCTTGCAAAGTCATTAAATTCATCAGAATGGGCTCAAACTCACTATCCTTTTTCCTCAGCCTCCTGCAGTGCTGGGTTTACAGGCACATATCACCACGCTTGACTTTTGAAATGACTTTAGTGAAATTTATTTTGGACTACGTTTTGATTTACAGAAAAGTTGCAAAGATAGGACAGAGAGTTCCATTATACTCCCACCCAGTTTCTGGGGGATGATGACTTGGATAGTCTTGGTCTTAGGAAAAGTTCTCAGGAAAGTTTGAAATGGTGTTGTGCAGTTTATTGTCTTTGCTTCTCTTCTTCGGATTAGCCAAAGCTTCAGCTCCAGCTGCTTACTGTCAGGCCTCAGGGGAACACCAAGGGCTGCTAAATATCTTTCATTGTGCTTCTTTGGAAATGGTATATTTAAAAAATTACCAAATCATGTTGGTGACCACAATTAAAGATGAATTTCTTGGAGTCAGGCACCTACTATTGGGCCACGAGGCCTCCCCAAAGATGACTTTCTTAAACTCACTCATAGAACTGCTGAGATTGAATTGTCTATTTGGAGTGAGATGTGGATTCCAAGTATAGGGATCCCCAAATTCTTGGAGAAGAACAACTAGGCAATGCTATATTTAATAATATAAACTATTTAATGTTCACAGGATAGCAAGTACAGTTAGCCCTCCTTGTCTATAGGTTCCTCATCCCAGGGTCTTACATCTATGGGCCAACCTACTGTAGATGGAAAATGTTTAAAGAAACATGTACTGAATCTTTCTCTTGAATAATACAGTGCATCAACAATCTATATAGCATTTCCATTATATTAGGTATTATAAATAATCCAGAGGTGATTTAATGCATGTGGGAGGCTATGTGTAGGTTATAGGCAAATACTACACCATTTTGTATAAGGGCCTTGAGTGCCCACAGATTTTGGTATCCATAAGGGGTCCTGGAAATGATCTCCCATGGATACTAAGGGAGGACTATAGCTAAGAATGCTACCCCAAAGCCACATTTTCCAGGTTACAATCCTAGTTCTGTCATTTACTAATCACGGGGATATAGGGGAAAAGATATAACATCCCTGCTAACATGGCTTAGTTACTTCATCTTTCATATGAGCTCATCGTAGTCTCTATCTCAAAGGTTGTTGTGAGAATTAAATGGATTAATATGTGGATTTGCAACAGTGCGTGGCTCAGTAAATTTTAGATATTGTTAATGTAGCTATTACTGTTCCTATCATCTAAGATGTGAGAGAATGGACTAAATAAACCAGTAAAAATACTGGGTATTATTGATAAATTTATTACTTGTGCTTGATTTGAGCAGAAACTCAGCCACCTGTGACGAATTTGAGTGTCTCAGTTGAAAACCTCTGCACGGTGATATGGACATGGAATCCTCCTGAGGGAGCCAGCCCAAATTGTAGCCTAAGGTATTTTAGTCATTTTGATGACCAGCAGGAGAAGGTAAGTTTTCAGGGACATATTGAATTGATGGGGTAAAGTGGTCAGTATAAATTAGAGCCAAGAATGAGCCGAGTTCTAATCATACTTCAGAGTGGATTTTGAGTTGTATTCAGATTTCAGTTGGGAAAAAATTATAGAAACAGTTATTGTCAACAGTGATCATTTAAAAATATTTGCTAATTATTTGATGATTAAATGTAATTGAGATTGCTCTGATAGGAAATACTACCTATCTTTAGCTATTAGGCACTCAATAAATAATTTTGTTATTGTTAAAATTTGCTCCTATATTCTTTCCTGTATCTGTATCTTGTATCTATAGAACTTCCAATTTTATAGGGAATTTCCAAATTTACCATCTTGCTAATAACATATATAGATAGTTAGGCAAGAACTATGTGGTCTAAAAGTAAATGGCTATATGAAAAATGAAAAAATAAGGAGTTGGTTACAGGTAGGTTTGAGTATGTTTCCTGATGCCTGAGGAAAAATGAGAGAAACTTTAAACCTTTCCAAACAGATGTAGTCAACTGATTTAAGTAAATTTTTGTTAACAAGATTGGATGATTTGAGGTTCTTTATGATAATCTTATTCAGGTGTCTTATATGTTTTTACCTCATTTCAGTGTGTGGGAGGGGCGGTGAAGGAGTGTTTGGTGTCGAATCTGTTCAGGATTTTGAGGTGGCAGATGAGTTATTGATGACAGTAGTTTGGAGCAGTGAATTGTGAAATCCTGGGGTTAGTGATGTAGCGTCTCTGAGCCCTAGTGTCCTCGTGTGTAAAATGTGGGACCCCTCACCTCCCTGGCTTGCTGGCATAGAAAATAACGTATATGAAAGTGTGTCCTGAGGACAGAACAGGATCTTCCTCTGGAAGGAAATTTACTAATCTGCTTTTCTCTCCCTTTCCTTGCTGTGGTGTTAATTATGGCTTAGGTGTTAATTGATAAAGAATTAAAGCTTGTCAGAAGTATTTGCATTTTAAAGGAGATCCTCTGGTAGGCTAGAAGTTTATGATACTTCTGTGAGTGACACTCAACTTACCCTTCACATACTATTGGCTTCTTTTTGTTCCTAAGGAAGGACCTGAGTCATTTGGAGTCTTACTACTGATTTTTTGTAGTTCAGCCTTGAGAAATCTGTGAAAAATCCTATGTCTTTGGTTGTAAATTCCATAGTCACTCAAGTACTCAAGTATGGGGCAAGTCACTTAACTTCTCTGAGTCTCCATTTCCTCATTTTGAAACTGGGCGGCGGGGTGGGGGTGGGGCGGGGAGTGGGTAACAATAGTACTACATAGAAATGGTATGTGCATTAACAGACAAGAGGCTTCTGACACAAGCTGTTATTATTAGGTTGAAACACATGAGACTGGCACTATTTTAGGACAAAATGGTTGAATGTTGTCAGTTGCTATAAAGTTATGATAAATGCAGACTACTACTTTCAATCCTGTCTGGACCTTTTAAAATTTAACATTTGAAGAGTGAAAATGAGTAGCAAGAATGATTTTCCTCTCCTCTTTCTGTCCTTTGGATACAGCATAAGAAGAATTTGGAGTGTATATATCCCTGAAACATATTGAAGCAGTGGTTATACCCTTTAGGAAGCTTATGCAAGTAAGATAGGGTCTCACTGAGTTGCTGGGTTGCCCATGCTGGACTTGAACTTTTGATCCTCCTGCCTCAGCCTCTCAGAGTCTGGGGTTATAGGCAATGGGCCAGCATGCTTGACTATGGATGATTTTTAAAAAGGAAAGGATTTTTGTCAATGGCTGCCCTCCACCACTGTTTTATCAGTGTCTATTACTTCCCCAGTTTGGCAAGTAGAAGAAGGGATCTGCCATCAGCTTTTAGCTATCTTTCATCCCCAAGAGATAGGCATGACCCATTGGGTAAATTAATCAAAGAGTCCTTCAGGCCAGGCATCCAGAGAGGCATAAGCTGAAGCTTCCAAGAAAGGAATTCTGGAGTTGAGAAAAGTACTAGCCAAGTGAACATTGGTCCTGGCAGAGAAAGGTAAGTTCAGGACTATGGCCTTGGTTTTCGGTAAAATTTCAAAGAAGGCCAGATTCCCTGAGGGGTGGGGCAGTGTCATACATCTGCTACTAGTGGAATGATTCACCAAAGCTGGAGTCCTTCGGGAGCCATCACAAATATCTCACCAAGATCTGCTGGCAGGAGTTTAGTTCCTTGTCTGATAGAGAAAGGTATGCTTGACTTGGTGATCATTGATAATCAGAGTTCCTATTTTATTTGTACCAATTCAATATTATTCACTTTTAATTTTGAAAGACATTTTGAATTATTATTTCAAAAAATCTTTCCTCCTAGTATTTGTTTCTTTTCTAAGTTATTATTCATTTGCCTAAAACATACGATTCAGATTTAGGTTCTAAAGTGGTTTTTTTTTTAATTTAAAACTTCCATTATAATAATTGTGTAATAAAATTCCTCAGTTTTGTAACTGGAATAGTATCTAATAAAATAAAAACACAGATTTTTCTGTGATGATATTTACTGGGTTGTTGGTTTTCTGTCTCTCTCTCTCCCCCTTTCCTCCTCTCTCCCTCTCCCCTTCTCTCCCTGTCTTTCTTTACTGGGTATTAAACCTAGGGCCTTTGCACTGAGCTACATCCCCAGCCCTTTTGTTATTTTTTTATTTTGAGATGGGATCTTGCTAAGTCACTAAGTCGCCTTGTCTGAACCTCCCAGTTCTGGGATTATAGGCTAGTTTATAGTGTTTTGAAAAAGCAAAAACCTTACTGTTTGTGTTTGTGTGTGTGTGTGTGTGTGTGTGTGTGTGTGTGTGTGTGTGTGTGTGTGTGTGTGTGTGTGTGTGTGTGTGTGTGTGTGTGTGTGTGTGTGTGTGTAGCTGGCAATGGAACCCAAGGCCTTGCACATGCTAGACATGCAGTCTACCACTGAACTACACCCTCAGTCCTAATTTATGATGTTTGATCATACATTTCTCACTGATGTACTCAAAGGACAAATGCAGCTTCCAGATGAGAATTATGAAAGGTTCTTCGATCAGTGTGGCTCATTCAAAGATAAATATGACTCATATTTAGTAAAATTTTTATTTGAACCCTTCCTGCCACCATTTCCAGTATCCTGGCTATGGTTGGTAGCTTCACAGGCTTAGAAACCTCATTTTTTTGGCATATATTCATCTCTCAAGGGCCATTTCCTTCCTTTGCTGTGAAAACTAAAATGGTGAAGCAGTCCAGAAGATTGTGATCAATATAATTGGTTTGTTCCATCCCAGTAAGCACAGCCTATATGGGAAGCCAAATGATAAGTAGATTCCTTGGCGAGGAATCAGGAATTTGTTGTGAAAATGTACTTGGCTAAGAATAGCTCCAGGCCCCAATGAGGGTAAATGTTGTGCTGGGTACTCAGTGTCCATGTAGTTGAGTCATCCTCTCTTTTTCTCAGCCAGGATTTTGCTTGAAGTTATTCTAGGCTGACCAAAACCACCTTTTCACAGTAATATCACAACTGGGGTTAAGAACTACTCAGTCTCTATAAGATAATTTTCATGTCTTTGCTGTGGTTTATTCATCGTCCATTTGTCAGCTACTTCTCAGATTGTGTCCTAGATTCAGAGGTTTCTCACGGTTGCCCTCATGCTCAGCTGGCAGCAAGCATGGAAGTATCAGAGTAGCTGTTAGGGGTGTAGTAGACAGAGTTAACTGTGTCCAGTTTTTCCCTTCATGGCCATCATCACATTATAAAAAGAAATAGAATCTGAAACTTGAGCCAGAAACTCTTGCAAAACAGGAAGCGCTCTTCTTGGAGCTCTGATTAAAAGCAACTCCATTCTTAATTATTCCATCTCTGTCACCATTGGAAATGTTAGTTTCCTAGGGAGCCCTTTAATCTTATTATTCTAAATCGTAATGACTGGATTTGTGATTTACTTCTGTATGATGTGTATAAGTTGATTTTCTGTGATTCCACAAAACTTTTCAGAATAAGATTATATACTAAGTGTACATAGCAGCCTTTGAAATGTATATGCAGGTATGAGAGTCAGAATGGCCAAACAGTACAGAAAAGTTAAATGAAAAGTCTCTCTTTGTCAGTTCCTACAGGTAACCACAATTACTGAATTCTTAAAGCACTCCTTTTTTATCTTGATCTTGATGGCACATTGTATCTGCTTGGAATTCTATTTTGATAATCATGTTGTATTTCCTTTAAAATTACTTTTAGATGGTTGATGTGTTAACTTGATGTGTTTATAGGTAAACTTCATAATGCTTGTACATTTAAAATGTGATAAATTATCTTTTATGTACACTAGGTTTCTCAGTGATGGCACTACTGACATTTCCGAGTTATGACAACTAAAAATATTTCCAAACATTCCAGTTTTCCTTAAGGATAGTGGGAGAGCAAACTCTACCTGCCCTGATCTATACCATTTGAGACCTTGACTTCTTTACCCATTTATGCATGCTAATGTTTTATTTAAGTATACTTTTCTATATTTGCTACACTAATGCCTTTTTCAATTTTCTAACCTCAGAAAATTGCTCCAGAAACTCATCGTTCAAAGGAAGTTCCCCTAAATGAGAAGATTTGTCTGCAAGTGGGATCCCAGTGTAGCATGAATGAAAGTGAGAAGCGTAGCATTTTGCTAGAAAAGTGCATCTCACCCCTGGCAGGTAACAACCAAAAGCACTGTCTTGGCATTTAGAGAATAAATCCAGATGCTCCATGTTCATTGTTTATGAATTCATTCAAATGGAAACTTTTGCTATGCATTAGGGGCTTGCCACATAATGATAAATCTGGGTATGCCTCTGTCTTCAAGGAGCTCCCAGAAAACACAAGTAACAATGCCTAGTAGATAACAGTGCTTTATAACTCAAAAATGAATACACACACATACATACACACACTCCCCTAAATTGTGCCTTACACACTTATCTTGTGGAGCAAAGCATGTATTATTACCATGTTCCATTTATAAAGAAGGGAGCTGAATGACTTACTCTAGGTTTTCAGATTCCAGGTCCATTACTTTTTTTTTTTTTTTTTTTTTGGTACTGGGGATCGAACTCGGGTCCTTGCGCTTGCGAGGCAAGCAGCAGAACCACTAAGCTAAATCCCCGGCCCAAGGTCCATTACTTTTAAGAAAACCAAAATGCTATGTTATTTGTGATATATGGAAATTAATTTGGGATACAGGATGTATTTAGGAAAAGATAGTAAAAAGAAAAGAAAAAGCATGCTAGCCTAAGTCAATATATGTGAGGTACTTAAGATGATGTCTGACAAAGAGTAAATGCTGTACACATGTCATCTATTAATACATATTGTCCCTTGGTTGAACAGGCCATCTCCCACCTCCAAAGCTTAGCACTGTGAGCTCAACCTGCTTTGCATTGATCGAAAACATACGAAGTACTATTTATAAAATGATAAAATTCAGGACTTGTAGGAGGCTGGGACCATAGTTTAAACAACTTACCTACTCTATTCTCATTTCAAAACAGTTATATTATGACATAAAATTGTTGAAGATGGCAACCCTTCAAGGATCATGAGGGATAAAAGTTTATATTTTAAACAGAGGCATTTAAATCAGAAACATGATTCCTTAAGTAAAACAGCTTATAGAGATTTCAAATCAGAAAGAGTTTATGGCTCCTAAAAATCACAACAAAAAATAAGCATTTTTTAAGGATTGAGTTATGCTTACCTTTCCCCAGAATTGCTTCAGGAGGTAACTGTTTACTTTTTTGGACAGTATTGATCAAAAGACATGAAGGTATATTGTACCTCCACAAAGTTTTTCTAAATATGAGAGTTGGAACTGAGGCTGTAGCTAAGTGTTTGAGCATATGCTTAGCATGTGGTAGGCCCTGGGTTCTATCCCAGCACCAAAATAAATAAAACTGAGGGATCATTTGTATTTCTACTTTTATTTAGGAATTCTGTAATCCTTGCCTGATTGAAATATTATAACCTCTCTGCAGTTAGAGTTATGAAAGTTAAGATCCTACAGAGATAGCAAAGATGTTTTCCTTGAATTAGGAAGTGAAGGAGAAGGTTGTAAACAAATTGGATTTGGAGTTTTGCCATCCAGGTGACTTCTGTGTAAAATGGGGTGAGATTAGAGATTAGTTTTGGGGGAAAGCAGTCTGAAACACCCTCCCATCTCCCATGCCACAGAGCCATTGGCAAGTTTCCATAACAAGTCAAGAAGGGCCCTAAACTCTTTCCTGGATATTCTAGGTGATCCAGAGTCTGCTGTGACTGAGCTTCAGTGTATCTGGCACAACCTGGGGTTCATGAACTGTTCTTGGCTCCCTGGAAAGAATTCAAGTCCTGACACTAACTATACTCTTTACTACTGGTGAGTATGTATGTATAGAATTACTGGAGGTCCAAATGTGATTATTTTGGGAGCCTTTGGGTTCAACTGAGCTTAAAGAAGAACAGTTTATTCTCTTCCATAAAGGCAAGACAGTGGGCAGTTTGCTTCAGTGGAAAATGTGTCTGCTTTGAGTGTCTGCTTAAAAAAAAAAAACCTTCCTATTTTTAACTGTTGAGCCACAAAATATTGTTGCAAAAAATGTATAAGGACATTCAATGTACCTTTCACCTAATTTCTCTCAGTGGTAATATCTTGTGCAACTAGTTGTAGACTGTAATTGTGCTATTGCATTGTAGAACACTGGACCTAAACCCTACCCCCTCTCCCCATGTTTTGGTGTACATTATCCACTCTCTCACTATCCCCCTCTCCCTTCACAAATGGGGATACTGAGTCAGTGTGAAAGCAGCCTGGAGAAGGGGAGACCTAGCCTCAGTAATCTGCCCTTCACATGACCTTGTCTCTGCGATATTGTTTGCTAAAACAACTCTGAGAAAAATGGATCATGGAGGGCTATTTCCAGGACTTCTGAGGCTACAGGACAAACATGACCTTTCATCCTGGAGTGTTGGGTTGGGTGCGGCTCCAGGTAGAGCACTTGCCTAGCATTTGTGAGTCCAAAGGTTTCAGCTTCAGCACTACCAAAAGAAGGCAAAACAATCCTGGAGTGTACATTTTGCCTGATGACTTGATGAAAAGTAATTTTGGTATATTAGAACATTCATGGCTATATCATGGAATAGAGTGCAAAACTCCCACATTTCATTTAAATTATTTCTTTTTATACGGATTTATGTATTCATATTTAAGGGGTATCATGCAATATTTTAATACATGTATAAAATTATAATGTTAAAATAATGTTTAAATCAAGTTAGTCGTGTCTATCTCCTCAAACCACTTGAAGTTTTGAATGAAAGCTTTCAAAGTGGCCTAAGGGTTAGCATTCCCTCTCTTCTCCAGTGGAAGGATCCTACTGGAAAAATTGAGAAGCATTTCAGGGAAAGCCAGATGGCACTGAGATTGTGTGGTTCTTTCTGGAGGTTTATTTTTCCTCCTTGACTTAAATAATTCTCATTTGAGGTTTTATAGTTTCACTTGGCAACTTTTGGTACCTATCATTTCTTATTTTCTCAAAATCCTTCCGGGCTCCCTGGTGGCTTTGAGATAAAGTCAAAAATCTTCAACAAGACAGAAAAATCCCTCATGACCTGGCTCCTGTAAACCTCTCCAGTCCTCGTCTCATCTCCCTCCTTCCACTCCTGCCCCTCTGAACTTTCAGTTTCTCAAAGGGACTCTTTACATAGTCAGGCAGCAGAGTGCAATCCAAGCAGACTATTCCTCAGAGGAGTGGGAACATTCTGTCTAACAGAGAGTGTCTTCTTGTAGCCCATGCCTTGCACTTTCCCCTAAAGCCCCTTCTTTGTCCTCAGCTCAACTCAGACATCATTTCCACACCAGAAAGACTTCCTATACCTCTCAAGTCTAGATACATGCCCTTTCATCGGGTCCCATGACACCTTGCACTTTTGCGTGTCAGTGCTCAGCACATTGTATTGTCATTTCCTGTTTACTCAGTAGTAGCCTGCCCTAGGCTGCAATGTCCTTTGAGAGAATGAGCTGGGTCTTGTTTCCCCTGGTGCCTGACACATGCAAGGTTTTCCATAAATCACTTGTGAATGTTTGTTAAGATACAAAGCTTGTTTGATTCAAAGTTTGTTAAGAAACATTCAAATTTGGGTTGAGAACTTAGGAAGTACAAGCAACTCAGGAGCAGTATAGTTCAGGAATCAAGACAGAACATGATTGAGTAGATCTGGCTCCCTGAAGACTTGCCAGAGAAGAAGCTACGCAAAGAAGTAAGCCTTAGAAGGAGTAGCCTGGCTCTGTTGGTGTTGTGGTGAAGTCTACGAAAATTGTTATTGCAAGCTTTTCAGTTATTTTAGAAGTTGGTAGCATCCCTATGGTTATTATTCGATTAACCTTAGATAGGGTCCTTATGGGTAAAACCACAGGGAGAACCTTTAAAGAACCCATGTCTACATAAAGGGAAGGAAGAGAAGGAAAGAAATCTTAAAATAGATATCATCGAATGGTAGTCCATGCAGGAGAGTAACCTAGCTATATCAGGGTTACAATGGAGGCCTAGCCCTTGAGGTTCTAGGACAAAAATAAGAAAATGTCTAGGGATACACTAGCACAAACCAAGTCTCAGCACAAATTGCACAGTATCTCCTTGGAATGAATAAATTATTTTAACAAATGGACTGACCAATTTGAAAGCACATGCTTTTTCCTGTGCGTTGAAGTGTTCCTCTTCCCTGGGCTGAAGTAGGCATTTGTAAAAGCTAATACAAGTGGTTCTTGGGCTGGCTTTCAGCTCTCAGTTAATGGCTTTTTTCAAGGTATAATCTGCAACAATTGGAGCTGGCTCAGGAAGCAATCTGAAGAGAGTGGTGGTTCACTGGCACCCAAGGAGACAGGTATTAACGATCCTACTTCTTGCCATACACATTCTCAGAGCTTGTCACAAGCAGGAGCTCTTTCCATAGTGTATACTTGTGCTGTTCAATACAAGAGCTGCTAGCTACATGCAGCTATTAACATTTTAACTTAAAATATTCAAATTAAATTAAAACTTTAGTTGTTCAGTCTCACTACCCATTTTGTAAAGGCTCTTGAATTGGACAGCACAGATAGGAAACATTTCCACAATCTCAGACAGCTCTACTGGAAAGGGCTGGTATATTCTATATCTTCTGCCCTCACCACAACATACTGCTTGGGTTCAAATTCTGGCTCTCTTCCTTATTAGAAATATGATTTGAGGTGAGTGCCTTCTCTCTGATCTTCAGTTTTATAATATATAGAATGGAGATAGTGCTATTAGGGCCTACTTCTTAAGACGGTTCTGAGGGCTGTTACTGTGCGGAAAGCATTTGGAGCTGTGACTAACTGCTAACAAGTATAGAGTAAGTACTCAGTTACGTGATAGTTGTTGCTCCTGGTGTTTGTTACTCATCCCCACTCTCTTGCCGATATCATCAGCACATTGAACCAACCTCTTCCCCACCTCATAGAAATGGCACCAACTTTATACCTCCTCTTTTCTTGTTCCCCATAGATCGATTCTTTCTAGTCAAAACCACAACAGCCAGGCAGTGAGGACATAGTGCTCATTAGCAAGCACCCATAATGCTTTAGGTGCTGGTGTAAATCATATCATACAAACTGCCAAAGACCATTTTCACTAATCTCCAACTGGAAAATGTGGAATCATTTTTTAAATTGAATCAAGTTCTTTGACGCCCCCGAGGGCAATGAATTATAGGGATAGTCTGGCTTTGAAAGGAGCCTGACTTGAATAGCTACAGACCAACCAGAACAATGAATTTTATGGAATTTCTTATCCCATTAATCATCTGCAGAGTTGGGAGAACAGACTTGAATTTGTCCATTTCCTATCTACAATGTGATTCTGCAGAGGAATTCAGTATATGAATTTTAACAGGATCACCTGCTTTTCTTAGGTTATCATTAATTTTTCAAAAGGAATCCAAAAAGTTATCTATGGAAAAACCACTATTTTCCCCCTTATTACTATTTCTAAATTACAATACAGTTGTTTTGGTTTTTTTTTGGTACCGGGGATCAAACTCGGGTCCTTGCACTTGCGCAGCAGGCGGCGAAACCACTGAGCTAAATCCTCGGCCTCACAATACAGTTGTTTTTAAAATTTCACATCTGGGTCCATGAGTAAATGTGAAATATCATGGTACAAAAATGAAAAAGAAATTTAAAAGATTGCTCACTAGAGGAGTTCTTTCCATTATTAAAATAAAGTATTTTTATATGCAGTTTTATTTGGTTATGAAGAAAAATGTCATTACTTTCTTTAGCTTCTGTTTCTGACTGTGGGTAGGAAATGTTTCAGGACCATGTGATCCAGAAAAACTACATATAACTACTTAATTTTTAAAAAACTGTTTTCTCACATAAACCACAGAGACCTATAACTGGGGGAAAATTTTTGTACTATCTCTTGAAGAACAAGAACATTTTCTCTTAAAGACTAGGACATTTTCTCTGGAAGGACAAAAACATCTCTATGCTGAAGCATTCTTTGTAAAGCCTTTGAAGGGGTAAATACATTAGATCTGAACTTTTAAAAAGTCTGCCTGTCTGCTCATTTTATTTAATTAATTAATTTATTCATTTATTTATTTTTGTGATACTGGAGATGGAACCCAGGACCTCAAACATGTCAGGCAAGCACTGTACCACTGAGCTACATCCCTGGTTTTTGTTTGTTTGTTTGTTTTCGGTACTGGGGATTGATCTCAGGACCTTGTGCTTGCAAGGCAAGTGGCGGAACCACTGAGCTAAATCCCTGGCCCTATCCCCGGTTTTTTAAAAACCTGATTTGCAGCAAAATACCCGGGGGAAATTTCTGTTGGAATGCTGATTCCTAGGTCCAGGCAAACCCTTCTAAATTGGTTTCTCTGGGAAAGGGTTTGAGGAATCAGCGCTTTAAATTACTACAGGTGATTTTGAGGTAGTAGGTAAAGGATTTGGAACACTACTCTTCCTTCATTCCTTAGAAATTGTCTTCCCTTTCTGCAGAACCTTTGCACAACTCCCATTGTGGCTGATTATGTAAATCCTGGCTCTCTCTTCTGCTGGCCACTAAAAAACAGAGTTCTGGTAGCCTAGACAAAAATGTATTTTGAGCACATTCTGTCTATTTGGACTGTGTAAGTGCTGATAATCACTGGTGAAAGAAGGCATTTAAAGCCACGCGATGGAGGAGGACCCTTAGAAAGCCATTGTGTTCTGGACCTATCTGGCAGCAATCAAAGGGCATTAATATTGAAGGTCAGAGAGGTCATTCTGGTGAAGACCTGAAGCCTGAAGCAATGAGATCATGAATCAGGGTGTGGGTAATGGGAATATCACAGCATATGAGAATCCAAGAAACTCTGCAAACAAAATTTGGTGGTAGAGTATAGGGAAAGGAGAAAAAAAAATGATTTCAAAAATCTAAGGGTCCTAGAGAAAATGAACTCTGATGGCAATGGGAATGTTGGAAGAAAAGACAGTTTGGTGGGGAAGAGGATGTATGGTATGTTTTGGGCACTGGCTGTGAGGCAAAAGTGGATCACTAACATGGAACCATTAGAAATCTGGGACTAGGACTGAGGTGAGAGGTTCAGACTAGGAATCCCCAGAATAGAAATTACTGTATAGTAGAGGAATGGGAATGATAAAACTGGGAGAGGGAGGATGGGAAGAAGGCAAGGAACAAGCCAAGAAAAAAATGAAGGAGCAGGCAGAAGGAAACCATGGATTCAGTAGATTAGCACTTTCAAGAAGCACAAAACTTCTCATATTGACTTTAGAACACTTCCCTCCTGTTGCTTCCTATAAGAGGAAGATCAGGACTCCTGTAGTTTTCACAGCTATTGACAATACTGATAGCCATCACCAAAGAACAGCTTTTCTTCCTAGACAATGAAGTGAGTCATGATTTAAGATAAGGATTTTAAAAAATCTGTCTTGCCTTATTGCAAATACTGCTTTCAGTGGTTGTCTTCTCATCATTAAAAAATTCTACTCTTGTCCCTTGAATACCTCATTCAAAATAATACAGAGGGTTGTCTGATTTTATCTTATAGGCACAGCAGCCTGGGAAAAATTCTTCAATGTGAAAACATCTATAAAGAAGGTCAATACATTGGTTGTTCCTTTGATCTGAGTAAAGTGAAGGATTCCAGTTTTGAACAATACAGTGTCCAAGTAATGGTCAAGGATAATGCAGGAAAAATTAGGCCATCCTTCCATATAGTGCCTTTAAGATCCCGTGGTAAGTTTTAGAAATCCTTTGTAATAGTACAGGTAAAAGTGGGTTATGTCCTTTGAACAATCAATACAAATGATAAGAAAATGGTAATTTTAGTCTTCAGATTTTCCTAAAACAAGAGACTACATGTATGTAACCTTTCTTCGATAGACCTTTTTTAAAGAAGCAAGCTTGGAAATTCTGCTTCTTATGCACATGTGCCAGATGCTTTATCCTTGTACTTAAGAGCATGCTGAGACTTGGAATAATTAGTTGTAGAACCAGTATTGGAATTTAGGCTGTCTGATTGTAATATCTCTTCTCCACTTACGATTGCTGGGTGTTGATCCCATAGCTTCAAAAATGCTAAACAGGTTCTCTACCACTGAGCTATACTTCCAATACCATATTCAAATATTTAACACTCTTTATGGCACAGGCACTGATTGGTCAGAACAACCAGGATAGCCACATGTGGATGTATGAACTGAGTATCGGCCTGTTAGAAAGAGGCCTCAACTTGAGCATAGAATATCTGGTTGAGGCCCTAGCTCCACTTTGAACAAGGCATATAAACCCTCCTCAGGTGTTTCCTTATCTGTAAAGTGGAGTATATAGTCCCTTTTGACCTCAAAGAATTTTCATCAAGCCCAGATGACATAAGATATATAAAAGTATTTTGTAAAACTCTGAAGAAAATGCCATCAGCACACTGGTTTATTTGTTGCACTGTCCTGATAAGGAGATCAAATTCTGGCTTAGTGGTGTACAGATGATTTGTAGACAAAGAGCTATCCTTTGACCAAGGATCCCAAGTCTGTAAGCAGAACATTGCCTACAACCTCTTCAGATAGTCATGGAAGTAAATTCTAACGGGATCAAAGGCAGCCTATGTTGTAGGCCAAGGGAGTAGGGTCCAGATAGTTTTCCAAGTGAGATATGATGGAGCAAAGCCTTCTCTTTCCACCCCCTTTTTGGGCAGATTATCCTAGATTTTAGGCTTACATATTTTGATACTCTTCTTCTTCCTGAAATTAATGATGACATAAAGAACAATTCTTCTCAGCCAGAAGCTGACACCTACAAATTGTTTTCTGTTAATTATCCATTATTTTCTGTTGCTTGATCTTAAGTATAACCAACTCCAGCAATGGTAAATTGACCTGGCTAATGCTTTTTTAAAATATTTTATTCTTAATTGTGGTTACAATGACATAATATTGACTTTATCATCATAATCATGTTTAAGTGTGAAGTTCAGGAGTATTAAGCATATTCACACTGTTGGGCAACAGATGTCTAGAACTTTTCATCCTGCCAAACTGAAACTCAATTAAACACAAATTCCTCTGCCCCCCAGCCCTTGGCTTTGTTTCTGTGAACTTGACTACTTTAGCTATGTCACATGAATGGAGTTATATAGTATTTATCTTTTTGTAACTGACTTATTTCAGTTAATGTAATGTTCTCAAGGTTCCTCCACATTGTAGCATGCGATAGAGACTAGGCTGATGTTTTCATTGTGGTGGTTTCTGATTGGAATGAGTGAATGACAGCTGGGGCAGCCTCTTGTACCTGCTGCTTTGCTGCCCATCAAATAGAGGCACATCTGGACCTAAGCACCTCTTTTCTTTATTCTTTATATTGAAGTTAGATGTCCTGATTGTACCCTGGCCATTTTGTAACCAGATGCAGGTCAGAGTTCATGTTACCCTTAAATCCATTTTACTATGCAGTTAGTTTTTTTTGAGACAGGGTCTTGCCATGTAGTCTGGGCTGGCCTTGTACTTGCTATGTAACCCAGGCTGACCTCAAACTTCTGAATGCTGAAGTTACAGGCGTGTACCACCATGCCTGGCTATTAGGTAGTTTTAAGTAAGTTTCTTCCGCTAATTATGGCTAACCGGAAATTCTAAAACCATATATCTCATCATGTAAAGGCATTAAAAAATATCAACCCTGTTGTGATTTAGTTTTGTGAACCTTCATTATCCATTTTATATGTATATAATCAAATTTTGGAAGCTAAATTTGCTTTCTTCTATTTTTCAGTGAAACCTGATCCTCCACATATTAAAAATCTCTCATTCAGAGAAGGTACCTTATATGTGCATTGGGAGAATCCACCAAATTTTGATAGCAGATGCTTATCTTATGAAGTAGAAGTCAATAAGAGCCAAACTGAGACACATGGTATTTTTTCCGTAAGTTTTTTAGATCATTATTTTTCCTTGGATATTTTTCTTTCACTTGAATTTCTTACATTGAAATATGAATGAAATATAGCTCTTACATTTGTTACCAAATAATGATGATAAACTTCTTGTCTGAATACAGCAATGTGGAAAGTTTGAGGGTTTGTGTTAGTATTAGCTGCAAGGTTCAAGCCATTCATTAATTCATTTGTTCAATAAAGTTTTGCTTCTTTTTGAACCCAGGGCCTCACATCTATAACCCTTTACATTTTTTTTTTGAGATAGAGTGTCACAAAGTTGCCTAGGCTGGCGTCAAACTTGGCCGTCCTCTTGCCTCAACCTCCTGAGTAGCTGGGATTATAGGCATGCACCACTGTGCCTGGCTAAAATACTCAGTAAACCAACTTTTTTTTGGACCACTTGAACATATATATATATTTTGTTGTTGTTTTGTTTTGTTTTGTTTTGTTTTTGTTTTTGTTTTTCCAGTCCTGGGGATCAAACCTAGGGTCTGGTGCCTGTCAGGTAAGCACTCTACCACTGAATTAACTACACTTCTACCCCTTGCTCAATAAATTTTTATTAGGTGTCTACCATTTGTCAGGTGCTATTTTATGTGCTGGGAATAAAGCAGCAAATGTGACACCTGACAAGTCTCTTTCTTCATGAAGCTTACATATTAGAAAGTAAGTATGTTTAAATGAGCAAGCTAATTTTAGAGCATGAGTACTATGAAGAAAATCAAATGGGGTTATGTAGTAGAGTGTGAGAGCCATGTGAAGATTGGAAGTTAGAGAAGACAGCAAGTACAATGACTGAGGCAAAAATGAGCTTGACACACATGGGAAAACAAAAGCGAAACTGGTGCAGCCAAAATACAGTAGAAAAAATGGCTAGGCAGAATGCAGAGATCAATCATCTAGATACTTGCAGGTTTTATTAAAACCATTCCATTTTCTTGGGGTTTGCGTCAAGGAAGGTAGTCACTTTTGAGAACAGTAGTCAGTATTTGTTGGATTATGTGCACTTACGCTGCTGTTCAGAATCTAATGCAAAACATTCTAATTAGCGGTCTCTCTGGGGAATAGAATGGAATGTGGTGTAACCTCAGGGCACCAGTCCCATTGTTAGGTTTAGAGTAGGAGCACAAATTAAGGCCTTACATGTTTTTGTTTGGGCCACAAAATGAGGGATTTGTTTCACTCCTTGTTTATTGAATTTAATTTTTTTGCCCAGATTTAGAATCATGCTGCTTTGGGAGCATATTTCCATAAGGTGGTGCCTCAAGATTTCTGGGACTGCACCACTCACTTTTTTGCTACCTGCCTGTGCCTTTTGTACGGTTCCTTTAAATTTTAGAGGTTAGATACAAGATGTTTTATATTGGCTTTTAAAAGAGCCCAGCAACTTGCATGTGGGCAGATTCCTTGATCCAATTGTTTTAGCTTATCTCAAAACTTTTCAAAATGCTAACTAAAGCCAGTGTTGACAGGCTGTCACTCCAGAGGGAGTGACTGGGTCCACAGCAGAACTGAGCTCTAATGGACATTGGCAGATCTGCTGAAGAATAATCATCATTACTACCTGAAACCACAGTGTTCCCAAGAAATAGTACAGAGGGCAGAAGCAAAGGCTTCCATGTAGGGAAGGGTATAATGCTTAAATTTACAAGAAATAATTGATCTGAAACCTGAAATATTTTGATTCATTTGGCCTTTAGCTATCCCCTCTGTGTAATATCCTGAGACACATGCTGCTTGTATTAACTTACTTTACTCCCCAATTATGTCCTGCCTTTTAAAATCTGACCACATATATGCCTTTTCTTTCCACTAAAAATATAAACTGTAGGGGAGGAATCAGGTGGTGTCTATTTTGTGCTGTTCTTGCTACTAATAGCAGCTAATATATACTGAATGCTTACTATGTACTAGGTGTGTTAGTAAGTACTGTGTCTAAACTGTCTCATTTAGAGCTCACAGTAACCCTAAAGATCTTGATCCTATTATTTGATCTCCATTTTACATGTGAAAAAACTTAGTTACTCCTAAGATCGCATTTCTAGTGGGTAGAATCATGATTTAAGCAAACTTCACTGCAAAGCTTGTATTCTTCACCACAGGTGACCACTTCAATTCTTCCTCTTAATAGTAATAGCTATCATTTATTTATTAAGTGTTTAGAATGTGCCATGAAGGTACTCCTCTATGGGCATCTTATACAGTAGCTTATAACAACCCTGCAAAGTACTATTGTAACTTACATATTTTTAAGGAACTAAAATTTAGAGAGTTTAAGTAAGTTCCTATAGTCCATAACAAATTATGGCTTCAAAGATTGGTTGTTGGTCTCTGTGTATTAAACTTTGACCAATAATACTTGGTGTAACACCATATCCATAATCATCACTTAATAAAGTCTTATTAAATTAAGTTACTTTTGTTTTTATAAACTTCAAAACTAAAAAGAACACATTTACTATAGAAATTATCTATGTATATCAGAAATATAGTCTCCTTGGAATTAACTCTGTTCACTTGACTTGAATGTTCTTTCTTCTGGCAGATGTTCATCTCCTCTAAAATGTCATCAGTCCTTTTTTGTTTGTTGTTTTTTGAGACAGGGTCTTGCTATGTAGTTCAGGTTGGCCTTGAACTCACTGTGCAGAACAGGCTGACCTTGAACTCTTAGCAGTCCTCCTGTCTCAGCCTCACAAGTGCTGGAATTACAGGCATGAGCCACCACACCTAGCTTTAGAATGTCATCAGTTCTTTGTATCCTTATTGATTTTGAACTCTGCTGGTTAGATCTATTTTTTTTTCTTTTTGTAATACTATTGGAGGGATTATTTTACCTGGTGTTGACAGTTAAGAGGGGGACGTGAGCCAGAACATCAACTGGTACCATCACAAGGGGATTGTGCTCAGAGTTAGCTGATGACAGAACCGTGAGATAAGGAATGGCTTGTTTTATTACCACCATCCATCATGAAAAACTGTCTACTTGATGCTCCATGTCCTTGTTTTTCTCATATCAGAAATATCTGCATAGCTAATAAATTACGTGAGAGGATTTTGAGCAAGAGCTTAGAGACTTAAATCTACGTGATAATTTGCTGACTTTGGAATTTATGTATTTGGCAGATGGTCCAGGGAAGGAGGGACATCAGTCTGCAATTTGATCCCTGAAGTGGTGGTTGACACTGGAGATTCCCCAATAGGTCTATAATCCCAAATAGCCAGCAGTGGGATACAGTAGCCCCGAGTGGCTCTTCTTCTGCCTTTGTATGAAATATTGAAAACATAGTCCTTTATTATTCCATTGGCCTTCCAGCTCTTCACATATACCAGTAGGAACCATGTAGTGAGTGATATTTAATGTCAAAATTAATGGCTATGTTTTCTAGTCTTTGTTCAGTGTTTAAATGTCTTTAATAGAAGTTGACTAAACAACAGATTTTTCATTCCATTCTTTAAAAACTCACATTTAAGGAACTGATTATTCTTTTTATATCAGATAGCAAGTGACTTACATTGTGTGGAGGAGAATTCTAAATTACGCTTTCTTTTCTCCAACTTAGTCATTTTTATATCTTATACTCTCAACAGGGGAGACTAGTGTCTGTTTGTCTCTCTCATTCTCTCCCTCCAAACTTTTTATTGATGTATAATACACAATATAAAAATTATACAAATCATGATACAGTGGTAACTTGTTTCACGAATGCTTTGGTTTGCAAACAATTTGGTTTGCAAACAGAGTGTTTGGTAAAATGTTGTTTTGTTTGCTAACTTTGCATCAGGTAACAAACATGACAAACACATCTTTCCCACACAAACACAAATGTGGCCATCTTTTCCAAAATTGTAGAACAAATTAAATTTGTAAACCAAGGTACCACTGCATATAGCTCAATGATTATTTTTTCATAAACAGTTTTCACAAATGACTTTTTGCTTATGTTATCAGCACCCCAGACACCTCCTCAGGACCTCTTTTAGTTGCTACTCTCCCAGAGAGCAACTATATCTTGACTTCTAATCCCATACATTTGTTTTGTTACTGCTTTTAAAACTTCCTATAAATGGAATTATGCAGAATATACTTTTATGTTTGTCTTCCTTCTTTCAACATTCTAAGATTCTCCACTAATGTTTCCTGTAGTGTAGATGGTTTATTCCCATTGTATATATTCCATTATGTGAATATACCACTTTTTATTTATCCACTCTCTCACCTATTTGGATAAGTTACAGTTTAGGGTATTTTGAATACAGTTTTAGGAACATTTACATACTTCTCTCTGGGTATACATGTGGATGTGTTTCTGTTGGGCATTTATAATATACCCATATATGTGGTTCATAAGTTTACATATGATTATATCTAGTAGATAACATTTTTCCCAAATGGTTGTGCCAATTTACACTGTTAAATAGAAATTGAGAATTCTAGATAGTTAAAGTTTACCACTTGGTATTCTATCTAGTAAATATGTGTATCATTATCTTGCATTTAATTTGCATTTCTCTGGTGATCAGTGAAGTTGGGTACTTTTTGTATGTTTATTGGCAGTTTACATATTCTCTCATGAAGTATCTGTTAAGTCTTTTGCTAGTTTTTCTAATGAATTATCTTTCTTATTAATTTGCCACAAAATAATATATGCAAGACACTTATCAGAAGTTACAAATATGTTCTTCCCTTCTACACATTGCCTGTTATTTCCCTATTAGGTTATCATTTGATAAACAGAAATTTAAAATTGTTTTTAATACAGAGCACTTTATAAACATTTTCTGTTTATTATTAATGTAGCATTTTTGGTTGCTGTTTAAGAAATCTTCCTTTTTCAAGGTCACAATGATGTTCTATAAATTCAGTTAAAAGCTTGTTATATTTGTGTGTTTATTTGTTCATTTATTTTTACTTTCCTTATTTAGATCTTAAATATATTTGGAATTGAGCTTGTGAATAGTGTGAGGTAGAAGGTCAAGATTCTGTTTTTCCGTATAGATATGTAATTGATTCTGCACCACTTATTAGTAAGGCCAGCCTTTTTTTCACAGTACTTAGTCCTTTTTTAATGGGCTATAAAGAAACTTGTTAGAAATGGACAGATGTTGTAAAATGTGTTTTTAAAAGTTTGGCACTCATTCATTTATTTTTTAATTTTCAAGGCTGATGAGGATGGATGTCAGAATTCAGTGTTTGAAAGAAACATGACGGTCAGTAAACTTAACTTTAGCTATTTGGGCTTAGACTTCAAATAATAGGGGTTGAAGCAAGCCAGATACAGAGTAAATTTGAACTGCTTTCAGAAAAATAAAGTATGTTGTTCTGTGGGTTATTGCCAACTTTTTTCAGGAGTCAAAGTCAGATCATTTGAATTGCAATACAAGTCTTAATCATATACAGAATCTGGCAGATAGTTATATTTTTATTCAATAACAGAAAGAATAAACTGATAATAGTGTTTGTGTGTTTTTATATCTAAGGGTACAACTTGTTTTATGGTCCCTGGTGTTCTTCCTGATACTTTTTACACAGTTAGAATAAGAGTCAAGACAAATAAACTTTGCTATGAAGATGACAAACTCTGGAGTAATTGGAGTCAAGTGATGAATATAGGTAAGAGAATAGAATTTCATCAAAATTTAAAACATTGATGCATGGAAACTGAGCTGAAGCAGAAAATCAATTGGGGAAAGGGACTGTCATGCTTTCTTGATGTCAACCAAACAGTACTTAAATTGAAATGTATTTTCTGTTTAAATAGTATCACTTCACCCAAGGTTCATTGACAATATATAACTATTTGGAAAATCCACAATCTAGATAGTGGATAGTGTTATTTTCACTCCTGTCCTATCTCTATCTTTTTTAACAACCTGAACAAAGACATGCTAGTGCAGGGTGATCTGGCCGCATTGGAAATGTGGAGCATCCCATGCAGAGCACCACATTGTAGGTGCATGGCAGACCAGAATCTCTCCTTGAAAGGGTAATCAGGATGTTGAAGAACCTCAAAACTTGGTGAGGTACTTCAAACAACTGAAGTAACCTTGAGGACTCATAATTGCTGAATCCTAATATCTATAGTATTATCAGGTTGAAATGGGAATAGGCTTTCTTCCTTTTTGTGATTCCAGGGGGCAATAAAGAACCAACTTAAGAACTTTAAACAGATGTCTAAGACTCAGACAGATGGATTGCTGAGGAAGTCAGTTCTCTATTAATGGCTGGGTCAAACAAGCTATGTGCTAAGCTTGGTTATATTAGCTATCTGTAGTTGCAAAGCAAATTATCCCAAAGTTTAGTGTCTCTAAGCAACACACACTTACCATCTTACAGTTTCTGTGGGTCAAGAATCTAGGCATAGTTTACTGAGAAGCCTCACGAAGTTGCAGTCCAGCTCTACATAGGATTATAGTCTCATGTGAGGGCTTGGCCGGGACTGGAGAATCCATTTTCAAGGTCACTCATGTGATTGTTGGAAAGCCTCAGTTCCTCACTGGTTGCTGGATATAGGCTATGGCAAATTGAATCATGTTCCCTCAAAATGATGTGTTCAGGTCTCAACCCCGAGGATCTGTGAATGTGACAATATTTGGAAATAGAATTTTTGTAGATGTAATCAAGTTGAGTTTATATTGTATTCGCATGAGCCCTAAATCTAATAACTAGTATCCTTATCAGAAGAGGAGAGGAAACACAGAGAGAGAGATGCATAGTCACACAAAAAGGTGCCCATGTGAAGTTGGAGGCAGAGGTTGGGGTGATGCAGTTACAAGCAAGGAGTCCTAGGAGCCATGAGAATCTAGGAAGAAGCAAGGAGGGATTCTTCTCCAGAGCCTAAAGAGGGAACATAGCCTTGCTGATACCTTGATTTTGAATTTCTAGCTTCCAGAACTGTGAGAATAAATTTCTGTGGTTTTAGCACCTACTTTGTGGTAATTTGTTACAACAGCCTCCAAAAACTAGTATAGAGGCTTCCTTTCGTTCCTTGCCACTTGGACATCCCCACAGGGTTACCTCCTGCTGGAGAAGCTCCCCTGCCCAAGTGAGTGATCCAAGCAAGAAAGAATGTGTGAGAAAACACCCAGTATGGACACCATGATCTTTTCTTACCTAATTTTGGAAATGAACCCCCATCACTGCTGCTGTTTTACTATTTAAAAGCAAGTCGATCAGTACAACCCATGTTCAAAGGGAGGGGATTTCACAAGAGTGTTTACCAAGAGGCAGGAATCATTTGAGGTCATCTTAGAGGCTGCCTAAACAATGACGCTTTGCCTTGATGATGCGTCCTCCATGATCATGCCATTGCAGGTAAGAGGACCACATAAACAGACAAATGGCATTCCATGTGCTATGTGTAACAAGGCAAGCTTTCGAATGGGTGATGCTGTATGATAGACCTGCCTGCATCATGTACTAAACCCTTCTGATGAATTGTTGATCTCTCTGAGCCTTCTCCTTATCTGTGTAAAGGAGAGAATACTCTCTATCTCTCTAGCATACATAGGAAATAAGCATGTCAAAGCACCTAGTATGGTACCAGACATATATCTGGAGCTCATTCAAGAATAGCAGTAGTGGTAGCTATTGTTAGGTGTTGTAGTAGTGGTAAGTAAGCAGTAAGAAAAGATAGTCACTGTTAATGAGATGACATATTTAATAGATACGATATCTTTGTAATAGTGTCTAAAACTAATTAATATATCTTAATTGTAAATAATCCTTAAGGTGCTAACTCTCCAAGAAATTTCAGGCACTATAACAGGACATTTTAAAATTATTAAAGTAACAGAAATTGTCTTTGAAAAATAGGTTGGGCTAGGGAACCGAAATATCTGTGATTTCATTAGCTAACAAAATTGTTTCCTGATTTATTACTAAAAGGGTTCTAGTTCTCATGTCTTTCTGTTTGCTTTCCATTCTCTAGGTAAAAAGCCCAATTCCATATTCTACATGACCATGTTACTCATCATTCCGGTCATCGTTGCGGGTGTGATTATTGTCCTTCTGCTTTACCTAAAACGGTAAGCCATGGACCCAGACAGCTTTTACAGTTTCTGCTAGCCTGGTTGCTATGGTTACTTCTCTTGGAGTTGGTGTTTATATTTTTCCAGTGTATTAGAAGCATTTTCACCATAAATGGCTTTTGATGGTATGACACGACAAAAAAGTACTGTTGTGCCTATTTTCTGATGAGGTTTCCCAGGGCTCTACTCAAACACTACTTCTTTTGCATGGATTTAGCATTGTTGAATAGGCTTTGTGTTCATTTATTCATTCAAATGCCTAATTTATTAATGGTTATTTGGTAGTTCATGGAATGAAGTTTTAGAAATAGAGGCTGGGAGTGTATACCTCAGAGGTAAAGCCCATGCTTAGCATGTGTGAGGTCCTAGGTTCAATTCCCAGCACCAATAAAGAAAAAAGAAATGAAAACAATTGCCAATGAAATGACTTATCTAATACTAATGCAAAGCAGCGTGCTACCTAGTGCTGCAGAATGAAAACTTGACGGGTTGTCATTAATATATGGTACTTAGGGCCAGGGATTTAGCTCAGTGTCAAGGTCCTGAGTTTGATCCCCAGTACCAAAAAAAAATATGGTACTCATTCCTTAAGAATGTTCTATTTTCTTTATCTCACTATAGGCACTGTTACTTGCTCTTGCAGTAAATACCTAAGATTGGAATAAGGCTATTAATCCAGGTCCAGAAGCAACATTTTATATTTCAACATTCTTTCATTATGCATATTATACACCAAAGGCCTATTTATGTGCCACACACTGCTCTAAGTGCTGGTGTTACAGTAGTGAAAAGGACAAAGTCCCTATCTGTGAACTAGTGGGACGCGCGCACACACACATTGATTTCACATAGTGAAAAATAAAGGTGGCAAGTTGATAGGGGATGCGGCTAGGCAGTGACTAGAGATGCATTTTATGTAGAATAGCCAGGGAGGTCTCTCTGAGAAAGTGACATTTGAGGAGAGAAATAAAATAAAGGAGTGAACCATTAAAATATTTGAGCAAAGAGCATCCCAGGCCAACTGAATAGCAAGTGCAAAGGCCTTAAGGCTGAAATAAGCTTAGTCTGTCTGGTGGAGGTAGAGTGTGCAAGAGGGAGAGCTACTGGAGATGAAAGTGGAAAAGTTGGCAGACTAGACTGTACAGGCCATGGCAAGGAACTGAGCTTTTTTCCTTAGCACAATAGGGGATATTGGAGCATTTTAAGCAGCAGAAGGGTGTGATCTCATGAAAGGATCACTGTAGTTGCTGAGTGAAGAATTGACTTGTGCAAGAATGGAAGCAGGTAGACTAGTTAGCAGGCATTGCAGTGTTTGGAGGAAAAGATGAGGACAGCTTATTCTAGAGGGTTAGCAATAGAGGTAGGAAAAAGGGTTCAAGCTATGGAATATATTTGGAAAGTACAATTGATAAGGCTTGCTGATAGCTGCTTCTCTGTGGAAGTGTGAGGGAAATTGAGAATTCTAGGACACCCATGAAGAGTTTTGTTCTTAAATAATTGAGTAAGTGTTGGTGCCATTTGCCAAGATAGAGAAAACTATGAGGAGTGCTGGCTTTAGGGAAAGATGAGGACTTGAGTTTTGAACATGTTGATGCCTACTAGGTATCCAAAGTAGATATGTTAAATAGGCAATTGTGTATGTGATTCTAGAATTTAAGGGAGAGATCTGGAATGGAGATATGATTTGGGGGGGTCATTGGGATGTAAATGTGTTTGAAAAGACTGGAAGAGAGTTCTCCTAAAGTGAATAAGAAACAGAGAAGTAAAAAGGACAAAAGACTTAACCTTGAACCCCAGTAGTAGGTACTCCCTGAAAGATGAGTTAAGTCCAAGTCCACCAAAGGGGATTATAAGATTCAAAAATGGAGACAAAAGAAGAAGTAAAGAAAAATTAAAGAGAAATATACCCTGTCCTCAGATTTTTTTTTCAAAATTATAAAAATTAAGCTTCTATCTGGTCTATTAGAAGCACAACATTAATATTATTTAAATGATAAAATATAAATAATTGCTTATCTTGGGGGCTTGTTTGCTCCACTCAAACTTGGTGCTCTTAGGGCATAGATTTTCCATAGCCTTTTTAAAGAATTGTCTTCACAACTGCCTTGTCACTAAAGGAACTTGTGTACTGTGACTTTTGCTAAGTCATGACTCTTGTATACCTTCCTTTACTAAGGCTTTATTGAATAGGGGTACTCCTATACAGTGGAAGGCTTGATCTGAAATATATCTGTTTTCTTAAAGGCTCAAGATCATTATATTCCCTCCAATTCCTGATCCTGGCAAGATTTTTAAAGAAATGTTTGGAGACCAGAATGATGATACCCTGGTAAGCACTGACTGACTCCGTTGGGGTTAGAAATTGGTTATATTTTTTGAGGCTACAGCATTTTTAAAAATAATGGTAAAATATGCATAATGTAAAAATCACAATTTCAACCATTTTAAATGTACAATTCAGTGCCATTAAGTATATTGACAATGTTGGCAACCATCACGACTATCTATTTTGAGAACTTGTTCATCAGCCCAAACAGAAACTATGCTCATTGAACAGTAGCTCTCCATTCCCCCATTCCTCTGCCTCTAGTAAGCACTGTATACTTCCTGTCTCTGTGGATTTGCCTATTCTAGATACCTCATATACATGGAACCAACAATATTTTTTTCTTTTTGTGTCTGTTCATTTCAGTTTGCATCACATTTTCAAGGTTTATCATGTTGTAGCATGTACTAAAATTTCATTTCAAATTTGGTTTTTTAAACTACAGTTTTATCTAAAAAGATTAAAGCAGAGCTGATTTAAGGTATATCTCAGGCCGTGCATACCAGCTAAGAAGTCCTTAGAACACTGCCCATTTCAGATCATGGGGCTGCGTTCTTTTTTGAGGTAAGGGGCATATTTTACCCAACATGCAGGCTCAAGATCCTCCTTTGAGAAGGTAGCCTAATAGATAGGACTTCTGGCTCTCAGGGAATTTGAAAAACTCCATACAGGAAAATATAAAGTGCTATAGAAATGCACTTTGGTTGTGCTATTGCAAGGAAAGTTGTACTTCAAATATAAGAAAGTAGAATGGCCTACCCCAACTGTTAGAGTTGGTTTCCAGCAGATTCCAAAGCTAGAATTGTGGCTAGAAACCTAAAGCATTATTGGAACAAAAGACTTTGAGGTTTCTGTGACAAATATATTCACCCTAATGAAATAATAAAGACAGTAAATGAAATAAATACCGATATGACTGTATTACTTTAAATTAGTACTAATAGGCATAAAGCAGTCAACTTAAGGAAATAGCACAGCATACTAGATAATAACCCAGGCTCTGGAGTCAGATTGTCTGGATTCAAATGTCTGTTGTGTCATTTACCATCTTTTTAACTTTAAGTAATTTTCTTAGCCTCTCTGTGACTCAGTTTTCTTATTTGTAAAGTGAAGGTAACAACAGCACCTCCCTCATAGTATTATGTGGATTGAATTAATTTAATATACAATAATTAACTTAATATAAACTAGTTAGCATGCCTGGCACATTATACGTGCTTACTATTGATAATCATTTCCATCTGTCTTTAATGCCAAAATGGTTCTTGTAATAATGGTTGATTCACAATGGCAGAGATGCTATTTGACATTTCTGGGAAGGAAGGCAAAGAGGCTGGTAGACTACCAGAAAATTCTTTGGGATCACTTTTTCACCAGTTCTCCTTCACAGACTGTGGGCAACTACAGACTCTGGGGATAGGGAACTACTAGGCAGATAGGTCCAGGAGTCTGGTGCCTGATTGCACACTGTAATTGGGCAAGTGTGGCAACCAGTGGTTCTTCAACTTTGAGTTATAATCAAATGAAATGCTTTTAAGAAATACAGATTCCTGGGCCCTGCCTCCAGAAATTCTGATTCAATAAATCAAGATTGAGGCCAAGGCATCTGCATATTTAACAGAAGCCCACAGGTGATTCCTATCATGTTATAGTAGTCTACCGGAGGAGTGGGGTCTTCAGAAAGGGTGGCAGGCACCATGTCTAGCTGTGAAGGTGGCAAGAACCCCCTGAAACAGCCCAAGAAGCACGCCAAGGAGATGGATGAAGAAGATAAGGTTTTCAAGCAAAAACAGAAAGAGGAGCAGAAGAAACTCAAGGAACTAAATATGAAAGTTGTTGAGAAGGTCCCCCTGGCCAGAGGTGGAACTTAAAAATCTGGCAAAAAGTAAACGTTTCCTTTTGCTTGAGATGACAGTGACCCTTGATTCCACTCCTATGTAAACATCTGGATTCCCTGCCATAACATCTTTGGCCACCTATAGCTAGAATGAAGTGTTGTCTTACACTGTGTTGTACATTTAGGAATAATCTGTGGTGGTGGTGATGATGATGATGATGATGACGATGACAGATAGTCTGTGGTCCACACTTTGAAATCACTGTTAGAGATATTTTTCCCTTGCCATTATTACTTTCTTCATTTCAACAGCTACTATGATAGATGCTGGAAGTTGGGAATTGTCCAAGTACTATAACAACTCTAACCAATTATTGAAAGTCTACTGTGTTCCAGACTCTGTAACAAGTGCCTTGTTTACTTTACTAAATCCTCATACCCACCCTATGGAGTAGGTGCTGTCAATATTACTTTACAGATGAGGAAATCGAGCATCAGTGAGGCTAACTTAGCTATGGTCACACAGCTAATTGGTGCTAAGGTAGGATTTGACCCAGGACTGTCTAATTCTAGAATTCTCTTACTCTTTCTATTATGCTGCATTGCCTTGTTAGTAGGGTGCTTGTTCTCAAAGATATCACTGTCTCCTGAGAGTCTTGTATGACAGAAGTAAAGAGTTTGGATAGGAGAGTTCTGAGAAAAATATTTGAGGTCACATTATGAATAGCTTGCAATGGGAAAGTATTCGGAATATTACTCTATCAACAGTCCAGGTGAGATGGATCAGAGAGAGGAGTCACTAACATGGTAGCAAACTGAATTGCCTCATTAGATGTTTTGTTTGGCCCATGTGATATATTTAAATTTTTTCCATTTGGAATCTTAGGCAGGACATGTGCTCTCTGATTCATCTCAGGCCCTGCCATTCCTAGTTCCCACTGTGGTTTTACACGTTGACCTAAATGCCAGACCTCTGAAGGATATTTGAGTTTGCTACTCTTCTTAGGATGGAAACTAGTTGAAGTACCAAGACAGAAATGCCCAATATCTGCACAAACATGTGTGAATTTATCAATATACATAAGACATCCAAACCAAAGCTTTGATGAGATATACATTTCTCACCTAATGAATTCCTAAATAGAACCAATATTTAGTTTGTAACAAGTAGATAGGGAAGTAGCACTGTTTATGCTGGGAGGCCTGGAATAGGGTATACTGATTGAGTATCTGTATTAGTCAGCTTTCCCACTGCTGAGACACAATATCCAACAGCCACAACTTAAAGGAGGAGAAATTAGCTCACCATTTCAGGGGATTCAATACATGTTTGGCAGGCATAAACATCATGGCAGAAGGGGATGGTGGAGCAAAGTTGTGTGGGAAGCAGAACAGAGGAACAGCACTAGAGAGGAAGGGACAAGGAATTAGATATAATACACAACATCATGCCTCCATGACCCACCCAGACACACACCAAGAAGCGTGTTCTGCCAATCCTCTGGCCAGCTCCCAAGTCAATCAAGTTGACACTATTAAACTTAACTGTCACACTATGCTTTATTCAAAATATTTATGACCTGAAATATTTTAGTTCTTGGAGTTATTCACTGGATATCTGCATAGACTTTGCTAGTTGAATATCCCTATTCTAAAAATCTGAAATTTGAAATGTTCCAGAATTAAAAAAAAAACTTTTAAAGTATTATTTCAGTGCTCAAAGATTCAGATATCTGCTGGTCATGATGATGCACACTTGTAATCTTAACTACTCAGGCTGAGGCAGAAGGATTGCAAGTTTGAGGTCAGCTTGGGCAACTTAAGAGATACCCTTTCTCAAAAAAAAAAAGTAGTCCTGTAATTATACTTTTAGGAATAGATTTTAAGGGAATAGCCCAACAATAGCACAAGAATAACTAATACATAATTTGTTTTCTAATGTGAAAAATTAGAAACCATGAATCATCAACAATCAAGAAAATAAAGAATTAGTTTAAGAAAGATTAGGTTTCAAAGAGTTTACTGTCTTAACACAATACTCAGAAGAGGAAAAAACATTATAAGTGTGTAGCATATTGCGATCCTAATTGTTATACAGTGCCCTAATGCACTCACAAAACAATAAATGGGAGGAAATGAGTCAGAATGAATAACCATCTCTAGGCAGAGGGATTGTGCGTAACTGATATTCTGTGTATCTGAAATTTCCAAATTGTCAATAATTAGATATATTAGTTTTATAATAAAAGAAATCCTGGACAAGTCATTAATGAAGAGAATATTGTAGTCATCCAAGACTGCGAGATAATATGGACTTGAATTTACGTGTTGCCAGAGGAGATTGATGAAAGAGACATGATTCAAGGAAACTCATTATAACTTGATGACTCAGTGTGGGTGATAAAAAGGTGGGGAGAGTAAAAAATAATTTCAGGTTTGCAGGTCTGAGTGATAAAGTGTATGATGGCAACATTGACAGCAAAATCAGGTCAATTATCTTTCTCAGAGATGGGAAAATTGCTTTTTTTCAATTTGCTGTCTAGAGGATAACATGTTGTTTTTGTCCCGATGAGTCAGATAATTCTGCAGTTTAGTGAGGTGGATATACTGACACGATGGACCACTGAGAGCATAAGTGTTTTATTCATAGTGGCTGTAGATCAGTAAACACAATCAGTTCTTTAACATGGAAAATATAATAAAAATATCAGATATAGAAAAGGGTAAGGGAATGAATTTTTATGTCTACTTTTAACCAAGGATATAATCCACTTTCTTTACATGGCTGCAACCATCACAAATTGAACTGCATATGCAAGAAGTCTAACCTTTTACTTCTCCAATCATGGAGTTAGGGAATGAACATACCCCAAAAGATGATCTAATGAGATGGATGTTTACATCTTTAATTACTTCCCTTTAGTTCCAAGTTTACAAACTCTAGATTCTCTTCCAACTTCCTTATTTTAGAGATAGGTACTTTTTAGGGATCACAGAGAAGTTTCTCAAGGATTCTCATATAGAGAGGGAACTGCAGAACCAGGACTAAAACCAGGTAGCCCATAGTTACCAACTCCTAATCCAAAGAAGTAATCCAAGTCCTTTTTAAACACTCTTTACTTTCACACTACACCATCAGTAGTGCTTCTTTAAAAAAGTTTAGATG